TATTCCAAGTTTTCTATGGTGGTCTAGCTTCAATTAAATCATGAATTCAATTGCTAAATATATCTTTTTTAATCCTTTTGGAAAGATATTTCATTTAAGATATATTATCTGTCTAATGTCTGCTTTAACAATTCCAATCATATTTGAAAATCTTTAAAAGTCTAGATATTCAACTATTGTTTCTTAATCTAAATTAACTTTTTTTCTAGAATAAAGTGTATAAAAACTTTTCTTAAATTCATAAGTCATTTTAATGGATGAATGCACAAGTCGATGTAAGCTAAATCACCATGGAAAACGTGGAATCATTGGACGACCGTTTTGTCCCAGTATGAGACTCCTCAGTCATGTGTGTTCACGATCATGCATACGAGATTCAAATCTACGACTTTCAGTCTCGCGAACGACTAACCTTTAAGTCACTTAGCTGGCATCCAACAGTTTTCATGTCTAACTTTCATGTGTTTACTACTGACCAGCTCTGACATGTTTTCACTGAGTTCTAATGAGAAGCCGTGATCCTATTCTCTTAAATAGTTATCTAGATAATGAATTGATATTAAGTGATTTACATTTACAAAAATGGCTATCTGTAGTCCTAATTTGTAAGTTATATGTATAGTCTAAACTTCCTTCAATGAAATGTCTTGTTCATTGAAAATCAGTTAAGATAAATTCCATAAATATTTTATAAACTTGACCAATGTTATTTTTTCTTAAGTTTCCTTACAATCCTATGTAATAGTTCATCTTGTGTACTTATTAGCTATCTCTAGACGATGTATAAGTATTGAAATGAAAATCTTCTTCTTATAAACCTGTGCCAAATGTTTTCTTTCTACTTGAATAAATCCTCTTATAATCATCATTATTTAGAGGTGACTGATGATATACTTTAAGGATATGATTTTTTGGTATTTGATATCGAATTAAATCGGTATGTATGGATTGATGCCTCAGATAGTAATTACACTATATACACAATTTGTTATGTAAATCAATATTGTCTTAAAAAATGAAGAAAAAACATTTTACATTTTTATAGTTTAAATAACAAATTGATTGTTATCTAAATTACCTAAAAGCATCTCAATCCTGCAGAAGGTTAGTTACGGCTCGGATTGCTCAGTGGTAACGTCTCAGACTGTGAAGCTGAGTGACACGAGATCGAATCCGCCAGGGAGCACCAGTTCCCTCAAGATTACAGGTACACCTTGCTGACGAGTGCCAAGTAGCACGAAACCCGGGTCCAGGGTTTCCTGTTGACTACCTCCAAATACCATCTAAATCTCATTACCTAAAAGCATTGGATAGACATTCTACACTAGTATGAGACTTCACACCAGTGTACATTCATTACTCTACATCCGGGGATTGAATCATAACTCGAATTTTGAACATTCTATGATTTACACCAATCCCTCTATGCTAATAATGATTATTTTCTCACTAGCGACCTATTCAAGATACGATTCCTAGAGTTATAATGAGAACTTGTGATCAGTGAAGTTCAGTTATTGTCGGATGTGAAAGAGTTATTTACCACAGACTTTGGATGATTATAAATTATAATGATTAACTAAAGTTAGACATACACAAGAGTGGATGTCAATTCAATGGTTTCAGTTAAGCAAATAACAGCAGGTTTCGAAGATCCCTATGACACTGTTGTGGATACAGATAGGTGAAAAGTTCCATACAAAAACGAAATGGGTGTCCAGAGCTTCTTCATTTCTAGCAATGATCTAACTAAAATTGTTCAGTAATATAAACTATACAAATTTAACAATCATTATAAAACTCATGTCCTAATAATTTTGTATTTATTATCAACGTTATATATCTATAAGACGAAACGGCCATCCAGTGCTTCCAGGTTTTCCATGGTGGTCTGGCTTCGATTGACCCATGATCTCAACTATTAAAATTACTATGATCTTCACAAAAACTCTTCTGATACCAATCAACATATGCTCACTAGTAACTGGCTTTAAGAGGTATTTCCCGGAGTTCTAGTGAGAAGCAGTGACCAATGGAGCTTAACCAAGTCTGTTGTGAGATAGTAACTCACTGATGACAATGGTGGATGTGTCGCTCAATTTCGTAGATTGGTTGAGATTAGACATTAACACCATTGGATGCAAGCCGGCTCAGTGGTCTAGAGGTTAAGCTCTCGCGCGCGAGACTGCTAGATCCTAGTTTCGAATCTCGAGAGGCAGTATCGTGCCTGAGCACTGTTGAGGAGTCCCATGCTAGGACGAGACGACCGTCCAGTGCTTCCAAGTTTTCTATGGTGGTCTAGCTTCAATTGAATCATCAATTCAACTGTTAAATTACTATAATATTTGATTAAAGTAGATAAACCATGCAGATTGTAAAATGAAGATTTGATGATCACAATTTATGGATCTATTGCACAAAGTTATGTAACAAAAATAGTTTAATTGTATACTATTCAATTTCACACAAGTAGACAAATATTCTTGATTTCTTATCTACTCAATTTTTTTGGGGGGTTTTTCAGTAGTAGTCTAACTACAATTAGTTCATAATTTAAACTATGGACAATTTTACAGTCTATACAAATTCACTTATATGAATAAATGAAACTAGTTACATTTTCAACTTTCTGTTTTTGTTGTGATAACGAAGAGAGAGAGAGAGAGAGAGCGAAAACAACACATTTTGTTTTGATAATCACTGACTAATTTCCCGCCATCTTCACTTTCCCCATACCTAGTTGTTATGCCTTTGACCAGTTAACAAAATACACAGATATTTAGTTCAGACATTTCTGTGTACGTGTGTGTGTGTATGTGTGAAATTAAGTATTTCACGTACATATTTTACTGATTAATTAGGTCAGTAGACAGAGTAGTTTATTTACTTAGTTCAATTTATTGTTTTTAAATTAAAATTATAGTAGTATTAATAATTTGTTTTAGTAAACATTATGAAAGTGACTTTTTAAAAGAGTTAAATGCAACAGATATGCCTTACTAATACATACTAGATAATATGAAACCGATGTCAAGTAAGAGTTCCTATAGACTACCTCTAACCAACATCTTAAACTGTTTATTTTTATATTGGGATTGGATATAATCAGGTAGATTGTTCAATCTGTATTATGATGATTTAAATCATGGACTAACTTAAAGTAAACAAACATTGAAATACAACTGTCTAATGCTTTATATTATCACGTCCATTTTATTTTGATGTCAGGTGGTTGAAGGTAGTCAGTTGATATGAAAAACTACCTGATCTAGATATCGTACTGGTTACCACTCACCAACAAGGTATACTTGTGTTCCGCATGAGATTTGAACTGGTTTGACTTAGTTTCACAGTGTGATGTGTTATCACTTAACAGTGATGAGCAGAGATATCTGTGCACGCGATTTTGAGTCATTTAGATTAATGGGCACAACAATTAATCATTTGAATTCGATCAGCACTTCAAGATTGAATGAGTACTCTACTGATCACTACTCAATGCCAGATAGCACGAAACTTAGGTCTTAGGTTTCCTTTCAATCATCTTTAATCCACTCTACATAATATGGGGAATAGGAATAGATCATATTTGATATGATTTATTTACAGTTAGATTAGATATATATAAAGCGAAATGATTTGTATTTAATCTTACTGTATGAGCATATATCTACCATATCATACAATAATGAGTCTGTAACTATCTGACTAAGTCACATAATAACTCTTAAAACATGATTGCATGTCACAAGCGAGTGGGAAAAATTTACTTCATATGGCATTCGCCCATCACCATATCAGAAAAATTTTCATTAACAGTTTAAAAATATGCAGAATGATATTTGTTTTTGCAAAACGAGATCAGTTAATAAGCAAATAAAGTCAAGGACTCGTTATATCTACTAGTGGAGTTCAAACATATCCAGTGTGTGGTGATTATCTACTTACAGCATTGAAAGATGATTAGTCCCCCAATAAAAAAAGTTAGAAGTGTAAACCATTGGATACCAACTAAGTGATTTGAAGGTTTTTTTATTCGAGCTATGATGGATTTGTAGATGCATACTACTCCTGAGAAGTCCTATATTAGGACAAAACAACTGCTTTGTGTTTATTGACTTCCAATATTTGTCTAAGATCATTTAGCGATGGAAGTTATGAAACTGGCTAACCCCCGTAAACCCCCTATTGTAGGTTATATGACCGTATTTTGCTTCAAGGCGAGATCTCGGGGTGCTAAAAAAAATCATGAAACTACTCAACTTTCGTTATTCAAAATAAAGTCTTCATAATATTGGTAACTGTGCGTGTTTCCTTTCTTAATTTAATTTTTCTCACGAACTTTGACTTTTTAGCACTAATTTTAAGTGGCTAATTTTCTGTATCCTTCAAGGTAAGGCTTTTGTCACCATATCATACTGTATTGTACAATTTCAAGTATTTATACTTGAATATTAAATATTCTTTACACTTAATTTTCTTCCTGTGTTAGAGGTGAATTGTTCAAATACTGAATGTCAGTTTTCGTCTTTGGGTCTATAATAGAACCGTTTATATAAGAATAACTCGATCGTTCTGTTATTGTCAAGTATCAGTGACTAACTGGAACTCCAATTAGACATAATAGTTTTTCCTAAGATTTAACAAAGGATACTGTAATCATTAAGGTGTGTATTGATGGAGAGTTCCGTAGTAAGACGAAACAAATGACCAATGTATCCTGGTCTATTCATCTCCACAAACCTCTTTCACTATGATTTTGATGATTATTAATAATGAATTTCACAAAGTCATATGTTTCATCTTAATTTGAACTCATGATCAACCGAATAAATCTAAGGGGATATTCAAATGACCAATAGGAAATAAGCCAAAATGTACATTAAATAGTCTTGGTGAATTACTGTGTTTTTTTTGTAGAAAAAAGTAAATGATTCTAACGAATCATTCTGGCATATTCACTCGTTTGATTTCTTTTCTTGTTTTATTCAAAATTTTAGGCTCCTTTACCAAATACATTTGATAGTTTTTGGACAATGATATGGGAACAAAATACAAGTGTTATTGTAATGCTTAGTAAACTTATTGAAATAGAACAAGTGAAATGTGATCAATATTGGCCAAATACTGGAACATTAATATTTTCTGATAAATTAATTGTAACACATTTAGAAACGAATGAATTAGCTAATTATGTAATACGTTGTTTTGAATTGAGAAAAGATAAGTAAGTATTATTATTATTGTTATGGTTTTAGGTCACTTTTATACACTTAAACTATTGGAATCAAGAATGATAATTTTTTTAATAAAATAGACTAGATAGTAGTTATCAGGGGAATCCAAGAAACATATTTAATCATGTTTAGCATTGGTCAGTCAGATGTAGTTATCATACCCTAGTGTTGATGTTCACATTAGGATTCGAACTGAGTAAGTTTTGATACAAACACCAGACGCATTATTAACTGAGTTACTGAATTCAGATAATTGTTAACTTGTTAATGTATGAAGTTTACATGACCATGTTAAGTCTTTTTGATTGAACGCTATATTCATTTCCTAAACTATTCTGGTAACCCGCAAGCTAGAACTACACAGCGACCTGAAACACCAGAGAGAAAACGCAAAATATGAGAGAAATACTTTACTCCAAGGTTCGTTTTTGTACAGAAAACATGGGTATTTATGGATATTAACGTTTGTTAAATCAGCATTATATTTCGGCTAATCCGGTAACGACATATTATGCTACTGACCATTAGTAGCACGCCACGTTGGAATTCTAGAATGCTCCATCATGCTCTGATCGGCTAGGACTCTTCGGCTCCTTTTGGGCCTCTGGAGGCTCCGTTGAAGTTCTCCGAAAGCCGACTCAACAGAACATCAGTGAAAATTGGATTTATTCCATTGTTAATATTTAGTATAGAATTTGAATCAATCTTTTGTGGTATATACATATCCGGTCGAATATCCTCGATATCTTCATTTCGCTGTGATTTTGATGCAACTAACAGCAAATAGTAATCATGGATTAATTATGATACAAACATTGTATCCTTTGAATAAGTTATTGATTATTGGGACTTAGTAACTCAGTGCATAATATTATTGAGACTTGAAGTGAAAGATGTTCATTTCAAATTATTATTCAACTATCAACCATATATACCACATTTATATTCCTAAAATATGATTTATAGTTTAATAAATCATTTCAAATATATAAGTCAACAGATAAACAACAAAAAAATTTTTTTTGTTCATTTTTTGTTGACCTTTGAAATATTGCCAAAAAACAACAAGCGAGTTAAATAATAATGATCTGCAGAAAAAAATAGTTAACATACCACAAATAATCGTTGGCACCCAACCACCCACCCACCCAACTACACACCCACATACACTTAAACAAACAAACAAACAACAACTACAAATATTTTTGTCATCTAAATTGTTTATAATATGCATTTTTTTAGTATTTTATTTTATGGTATAAAGTGTTTTTCCTAAAAAAACAAACCAGAATGGCATACCAGACAATAAGACGCTACGTAAGTAACCTCTATTACAACGTATTAATGATTATGATTGACAACAGTTTAATGGTTCGAAGGTATAATTATTTTCAGAAGGGGTTTGTGGAGATTTTAGAAATTTCACAGATTGAACTCATGAGTTAATTGGAGCTAGACCTCCATGGAAAACCTGGAAACACCGGGGGGGGGGCTGTTTCGCCCTAGTATAGGGCTCTTCAGCAGAGAGCACCTACGATCCCGCCCCCCGTGAGATTCGAACCCAGGACCTATCAGTCTCGTGCCAGACTCCAGGAGTATCTCTTGAAGTCAGTCATTAGTGAGCAGATGATTATTATCAGAAGTGGTTTTTGGAGATTTTAGAAATTTCACAGATTGAAATCATTAGTCAATTGAAGCTAGACCACCATGTGTTCGAATCTCGCGGGGTGCGGGATCGTGGATGCGCACTGCTGAGGAGTCCCATACTAGGACGAGACGGCCGTTCAGTGCTTCCAGGCTTTCCATGTTGGTCTAGCTCCAGTTGACTCATGATTTCATTCTGTATAATTATTTATTTTAAAAAACGACATGAATACATTAGTATTGTAAAAGAAGCATTTCATTTGTTTAAAATGCTCAGTGATTCGGGTAAAAAGAAAGACTTATGCTTTCGTAGTGAACATGAACATAGGTGTGGGCAACCGAATGTATTTGAATACAAATCATTACAGAATCTCTTAGAAAAATCTGAGAATCATACAATAAATACATCATTTGAAAAATATCAATCAATTGTCTTAGACTTGATTGTTCCTTGTTTTCATAACAATTATTCTCTGTTCTCATTCTCTTTACTTCGATCTTCTTAATTTTCTACCGCTAGACGTTTCATTTTCTATTGATGATACATATTACTTATATCTGTTGACATCAGTAGCATACACCATACTTTGCTGACAAACTAATCAGATTCAAGGTAGCAGATTTTGGATTATTGCTAAAGCGTTTGTATATTCCCGTTGATATTAAGCACTACTAATTGATTAATCCAATCTTCAAACATTTACTTCCTAAGTGAATAGCTTTGATATTGCCAGATATTCTAAAGTATTAAACCCAATTGTACAATCCAGTAACTATCTAGCTCAAGGGATAACGCACTGCCTAATTATTTTACAAGTCGCCAATAGTTTCTAAATAAAATATACTTTCACCTTATCATTGATAATTTGGTGTATTTATATTATTCAAGGTTCAAGAATAGAAGGAATGGATGTGAAGATAAACACATTGGCCTGATATCAATATACATATAGTTACCTGTTTGACTGTTTGTTAGCAGAGATTAATTCATTTTGGTTATAGACTATCTTATAAACAAAACCATCCATCTGAGAATAGTAATATACTGCTCAAATTATACAATAAGTAATCAGTTCCAAATAAATACATTTCCCTTGGTATTATTTGGCTTGTATCTTCCCATTGAGGTTTAAGACTGCAATTGATCAGTCTGTTATCGGCATATGTGCATGCTGTGCGTTGCCTCGAGATGCATGTACATGCAGCTAACGAGCCCCAAATAGGAGGAAACGTGCGTCCTGGATTCCACTGCTAGCCACTATCCATCATTGCTTACAAAAATAATTTTCCTTTCTAACTTATGTTGAAATTCCTGTATTTTTATTGGTAAATAAAGACAGAATTTTTGTCGTCAAGCCTAAATATCTTGTGTTCCATCGCAAATGACCTTGTTAATGTACATTGTTAAAAAGTCTCGTAATAGAATAAAATAGTTATCCAGTGACTTCTGGTTTTCCTAATGATTCATTCACAAAAGTTAATCTATGATGAAACCTTATATAAAATGTATCTACAAAAAATCATTACAATGTAAGACATTTATATAATAGATGAAAGAAATCTATAAATTAATCTGAATGTACAATGTTGAATGTCTGGAGGTAGTCAATAGAAAACCACTTGTTAGTTGTCATTGGTCAACCGATTGTACCTGTAAACTTGAGAGAACTAATGTTCCCTGTAAACCTGTGTCACCTAACATCACGGTTTAAAACGATAATTCAGGGCACTACTGACCTCATGTAAAACTGTGATATCTTTTTACAATTGATTGGTCATTATGTACAGACTTATGTTGTGTTTGTCTAGTCCTGATAATGAAGATTGAATCCTATCGATTAGCTCATAGTTTGGCTACTAGTCTGGGTGACTCGATATCGCTTGCACTATGTTTAAATGTTTGTTTGTGGAAGTTAACACGATACTCTAATGGATCTGGGATTCTTACTAGTAGGCACTCATCAATAATCTTGAAAGAATTGACGCTCCTTACGTGATTTGAACCTATTTAGATAGAAAATGTGATCAGTGGTAAAGAATTAGACGAATATGACTTTAATCACTGCTGAGTGAACCATTAGCGATCAGACATTATTTTCACGATTACTACTTTATAAAAGTAGTATACCGTGTTTACAAAAAATAGTATAAGTTTCTAATTTTTTAGTAGTATTACTAACTGAATTTCAACCAGAAATTGTAATGTTTCCTTATAAAATTGACTGTTCTAATGTAACAGACTGGTATTTTTGCCTTAAGAGAAATTTTAGTTGTATGGTTACGATTTCCAATAATCAAGATCGCTACTCCCTCTTTACTGGTCATACAACATTAAAATAATGTTTTCATTGTTATAAGATACAATTAGGAAATTCGTCTATTGGTGTCTCGTGAACTCTATTATACATTAGGAGGGCTATAGTCACTAAGCTGAAGATCTACTACTAAATGATTAAATAATTGCAAATATATCTGTCTAACAGAATGTCAGTGGTAACGTTTTGAATTTTGAAACGGCGTGATATGAATTAGAATTTCACAAGGAGGATCATTTTCTTCAAGATTACAGGTAAGTCTCCATTACGCGTATTAAAATATCAATAAGCCTAGATCATCCAGGGCACTTTTGCCAAATACATTCAAGCACCCAATACGTTAAATTTCATTTAATCTGATCAGTGTTAATTTAATGTAAGTTTCGATTGCGAAATTACGCATTTTTATAGCCCATGCAGTACATACTGATTAGTTACATCGAATCAGACAGGTTCTTGTTAAAGTTCACTTCCAAATGACTGTATGAAATCACAGTTGATTGATCACTGGGTGGTGACCAATGTCATGCGTGTCAAGTCCTTATTTAGTGCAGACCGAATGCTATCGACTGTGTTGCAGTGTGGCCACCAGTCTAGGTGACTCGGGATGGGTGACACGGGATCGAATCCGTCAGGGGGCATGAATTCCCTCAAGATTACAGGTACGCCTTGCTGACGAATGCCAAGTAGCACGAAACCCGGGTCCAGGGTTTCCTGTTGACTACCTCCAACCACCATCTAATCTCGACTGTATGAAAATTAATTAAACATACTAATTGATTATTAATTTACAAATGAATTTCAGTGTAGGGTTGTGGAGATTGTTGAATATCAGTGAAACAATGGACAGATCAATGATAAATTTTAATCAGATTTGTAATTTCACTAAAAACCGATATGTACTTTAATGTTTGTATTTTCTTTAGTTGTATACATCAATCTATTTACTATTATATACAGTATTAGTTAAAGTTAATAAACATAATAAAATCCGTTTTCTTAACCGTTTCTTTTTATTTCATTTGACTACTGTGTTTACTAGAGAACATAGAAAAATTTGGCATTTGCAATACACAAGTTGGCCAGATCAAGAAGTACCAACTTATTCTACTGTATTCTTAATGTTTCTTCGACGTGTTGGTACAATTACACCGAACGATTGTGGTCCAATTGTTGTACATTGTTCATCAGGAACCGGAAGAACAGGTAAGAAAAGTACTGATTAGCACAATACTACTGATATACTAAAAACGATAATAATAGTAATAAAGACTATAATCTATTAAAAAAATTTAGAACTGAATATTTTGGCGAGAGGCTCATGTATAGACAAACAGTGATTGATACTAAAGTGATGACTGATAAATTTCAACCACTTAATACCGCCGAAATGGTTATAAAGTAATGTGAGGAATTGGGAAGAAAAGTTGGAGGTAGTACTTCCAATTGTCTTTAATTTAAATATGACTAATTGGTTCATAAATTATAATTCCCGCCAACTTTTCAAACTGAATTAATTTCAAAGGTTGAGATCATGAGTCAATAGAAGCTAGACCATCATGGAAAACTTGAAAGCACTGGACGGCTGTTTCGTCCTACTGTGGGACGCCTCACTAATGCGCATCCACGACCCTGCGTCGTGGGATTCCATATAATTATCGCACGCAAACACTTGACCTCTAGACCACCAAGCCGGCCGGTATCTAATTGTATTAATGTTTAACTTCAACTAATTCACGAAATTGAGCGACACAAATTTCCTGGAGTTCTAGTGAGGAGCAATGACCAGTGGAGTTCAACCTGGTCTGTTGTGACATAGTAACTCACTGATGACATTGGTGGACAAAACTGACGTCCAATACTTCCAGGTTTCTTATGATGGACTAGCTTCAATTAACTCATGATCTAAACTATTAAAAACTACTATAAGATCCACAAAAACCCTTCTGATATGAATTAATTTCACTGACAAAAAGTCAGAAGCTATGTATAGCTCTCTACTGTAATAAGTTTAATTGTACCTATATATGTATATATACTCAAATTCGAATCGCGATGTAAACATCAAAACTAGGAAAATTCACCTACATCCAACTAACGAATCTGGAATACGACATGACTAACATCTTGAATCTTATCTCTAATCATAATTCAATTGCTCACAATCTTTGAAATGATCTTTTTTTTTAAAAACAATTAGTTCCTTTGATAAATTTCGATAATGCAATGAGAAGACGAAGTTTATCAGAATTATGTGGTATGTATTTGAGCAATGCATTTCGAACAATCTTATCACACAGATACTTGTTAAGAACTATCATATATGAAAATTAAAAGGTCAACTAGACAGGTTAAGGGTAAGTCATAAAAAAGGAAAAAAATAATAAAGCATACAAAAACAAATGTAATTACCACTCTGGATAATAGATCAGTATTACCAGGGTAGGTTAAGTGTAAGGAAAAATTGTTTTTGAATACATAAAGAGGGTTTTAATTTCCGTATAGCCAAGGCTTCAATAAACCTTAGTATACGTCCTTAAAAGATTTTGTATAACACTACAAATGCTGATTTGATGTCAACCTTATGACCCATCTCAGAACATTTTTCTAGTATATATCAATGGTTAAGATCATGAGTCAATTGAATCTAGACCATCATGGAAAACTTGGAAGCATTGGACGGCCGTTTCGTCCTATTGTGGGACTCCTCAGCAGTGCGCATCCACGATCCCGCACCCCGCAAGATTTCAACTTTTCCATGGTGGTCTAGCTTCAATTGACTCATGATTTCAACCTGTGAAATTTCTAAAAATCTCCACAAAACTCATTTTGATAATAATAATAATAATAATAATAATAATAATAATAATAATAGTGTTTTATTATTGTATAATAGTGATTGCGTGATTAATTCATAATTTAAATTTATCTCAATGGATTATATAATTGTTTTTTTCAAGAATGAAACATTACGTAATTTATTGTTACATGGTTATCTTCATTCAGATAATAATATTAGTAATAATTAATATACTACTAATAAATGTTTGTAAGCGATAGTACAAATGAAAATGATTGTTTTTAGCTACATTATATATATATAATGCATACGCTTATTTCTATTTATAAATGCCTAATTGTTCTTTGCACACATTCAGTGAAAGAAAATTGCTTTTAACCAAAATGTTTTCATCTATAAACGAATGAGATTACCTTTTTTTTAGAACATAATTTAAAATGAATTAATTTGTATCTCTTTTTTTCTGATAAATATTAATAAAGAAGGTAATTTTTTTATCATTTATTTATATAATCACATTCCATACATATATGAATGAATAAGGATGATAATTCCTAGGTTGGAATCTCGCGAGGCGCCATCTTAGATGAAACGGTCGTACAGTGTTTCCAGGTGATCTAGCCTCAATTGACTCATGAATTCAATTATTAAAATTGATATTTATAAGTTGAAAGAAGTAATTCTTAAGTATGTTAAATGAATGGGTAGATGTAGTAACTTCACAGTAAACATTCAAAAAAAGTCTGATCATGGTTACGATAGGTAATTAGCACACTACATAATGTAGATCATAAACAAAACAATACCAGACAAACAATAATGGAACGCACGGATCCTACACCATTTAAATCTTACACATTTGAACTACTGGTACAGTGTCTCAACTACAGTAATCTTTAATGCCTAATATTTGGAATTCTGTTTTCGTACTATTGATAATTACCATGGTAAATGTGTTCTAGTTTGTCAAGTGAAGGAAAATTATTTGGGATAATTGCGTATTGCAGTTAGCTTATTCTACAAGATTAATACATACATTAACGTAAATGAAAGGAAGTCCTGCTTGATCTAGGCCTCCTCTTAGTTAGCATACACCGAAAAGACATATTTGGAACTGTGTAAAGTACTGGTATTCTCAGTGCATTACTTAGTGTCTCAGTGAGTGATTTTACCAGCGAGTTGCTCCGGTTATGACTGACTTCCTGAATGACTTCAGTGTTTTTAAGGTAATTAGTCATTGAATAGAGTAACCTATGGTATACTTGACTATTGTTCAAATTGTGGCTTGATCAATAGAATTCAATCACTACTTAAAAAACTAGATAAGAATGATTTTAGTCACTACCCAGTGTTTAATGAACTTCTAATGTTATAAACATATATATCTGGAACGGTTAACTCTAACATGGATATTTATATAAATCTGGATATATTAGTAGGGAAACATCCTGTATGTACTACTAATAATTAGTTACTTGGTAATTTTAATCTTCCAAATGGATAAAAAATCTCAGAACTCTTCTGTATTAAATTTTTAATAGAAAGTATAAGACTTCACGGTATATGTACTTTTCTGTCTGTTTCTTATGAAGATTATTCACTGTTAACCTCAGTGATTATTTTTTTCATCATGAACCGATATCCAGTAAAGAGACATTGAAAACCAGGAATAATTAGATTACTATGCTATTCTAGTGTAAAATTTCGTATCAGTATATGTTTAAGATCACATACAACACTGAAATTCAACGTCTAGAGATATGTATAGAAAGCTCAATATTACCGAGTCAGAATTCAGCATTTAACATCTTCAACTTCAGTCAATATTTAGCGCTGTACAAACGTTAACTACTTTCACTGAGGAAACGTTGTCAAATACTGAATTTGGTTGACTTCACAGGTGTTTGAGGTTTATTCAACATTAGGTTACTTATTAGAAGTATCCAAAGATTACTTTAAAACAATAAATTTAAATAAAGATATTCCTTTTATACAATTGTATTCAAAGGCTTACATAATTTAATTTGCAGAGCAATCTCAGTCGAACAACTATTGAAAGCTAGGAAACACTAAGAGGCAGTTTCATCCTTAAATGTGGTTCTTCCTTAATTCACGGCGACGGAACCCAGTACCTTCAGCACATCACCAGTCAGTTCCTAACCTTTGGACCATTGAGCCTGAATCCAATGACTTCAATATTATTCTTCAGTAGTTGTCTAACTAAGATCAATCTATGATGTTAACTATAAAATTCAACTATTTCCACAATCCTTATATTGTATTATTTGTGAGTTATTTACTAAACGAAAATGTTCTTTGACATCATATCCTATTGCTTATTCATTTATTTATTTAGGCGTTTATATAGCAATTAATATATTGCTGGAACGTATGAAAAATGAATCAGTAATTGATATATTTGGTCTGGTGAATCAATTACGTTTACAACGTAATTATATGATTGAAACACAAGAACAATATCAATTTATATACACTGCATTACTTGAATCAATTACAGATGGAAATACAGAAGTATCTGCACGTAATCTATACACACATGTACAACATTTATCTATATTACAAACTACTACCACTACTATTAGTAGTACAAATGATTATATTAACAATTTCAACAGTCCATTATCAGCAACTATAACACCAACAACTACATCAGTGAATAATTTAAACGAACTATCTAATAATACAACAACAACAAATTCATTAGGTTTGGCTGGTTTTCAACTAGAATTTCGTAAAATTAATAAATTATCACCTAATATAACTTTAGCATTGAATTGTAGTCAATCAAAAACTGGTTTTGTCAGTTATACACCACCTGGAAGTCCTATGCATGGTTATAAATTAAGTGTATCATGTGATGTAGCCAAACGAAGTGTAAGTTTAAGTGATATTATTTAATGTTTTAATCGAAAAAGTTTTGTGGAGATTAGTTATACTAATCAAAGATTGATCCCACTGGAGGTAGAATTGAATACCGGAGAGCACTAGACAACTAATTTGTTTCAGTATAAGAAAATATCATTAAATAACTTCAGTTATATCGGCAGTGGAACACATTCTATCAAAATCGCTGGATGATTATCTTACTATATCGCTAAGTAATTGAAGTTAGAGTTGTACTTTTTGACTGTACTTCACTGACTCTAATAGTTTGTCAGGATACGTGTTCCTGGGTTCAATCCCTAGTGGGATTACAGTTATGCGCTTCCTAGCTTTCAATGGTACTTCAACTGAATATAATCTTTGGCAGCAACTAATCATGATCTCATTTAAATAAAACATTAAAGATGTGTATATCCAAAAAACTCGACATTCTCAATATTGAAATAAATAGAAAATCGTAAAGCTTTCTAGATGTTTGCTTATAGATTGTTATAGACTCTTGATCACTGTTAAATATAATCCATCTATTCCGTTAACAATTGACAGATAAATGTTTATCTATTCTAAATTGTATATACCACTATCAGTGTTATTATTAGTTTAATTGACTTTCAAGAGTTTAGTATATTATTATTAGTGGTAGTGTGGTGCGTACTACTTAAGTAGTATATAACGCGAGTCAGGAATGTAATGTCTGTCAGCAGAAGATTGGGAAGCTCAAGAAAGGAAGAACGGGGATAGAAAGAAATTAGTATAGAAGTGCAAGAACGATGAAGTCCGAGACAATTATTGAACATTTTGCAAATTAGGTATTATAGTATGGTTTTTCTATTTTACCGAGTAACTCTGTCATGTTGTGTTAAATATAATTCGGTTGTCCTCACCTGTGTTCTCCTTCACTACAGTAGTAGTAGTAACAGTAATAATAATAACATATCAGGGTTTATGGAGATCACTGGATTCGTTAGTTTACATCATGGACTGATCAGAATTAAACAACCAGTAAAAATATTTTTTTAAACAACACTGGATATCTGTCTCGTTTTAATACGGGGTTCCTTAACAGTAAGCATTGATGTCTACACTTAAGGTCGAACCCAAGGCCTTTACTTTTTACAGTGCACACCTAATCTCTAGACCATCGAATTAATAGTTAGTTGTGGTATGCATTTCTAGCTGCAATCACATCACTGTATCGTACAGCTATCTTGAAATATTATTATTATTATTATTATTATTATTATTATTATTATTATTCGGTAAATATCTTACACTTAACACAGATGAACCTTACTGATGACACCTCTGTAGAATTCATGAGAATTATCTCTAAAATCTATTTACCAGTGAGCAAACGGTAAATATTATTACCATGAATGCAGGTTGTAAAGACTAATGGATTGATCTTCGTTAAATATTAATATTATTTTTCTATATTGTCTACAAATAAAATCGATAGCAATTTAAGAACAAAGAAAAAAGAATAACGATAGTAGCTCACTGCTGACAATGGTAGATGTGTCGCTCAATTTCGTCGAATAGTTGAAGTTAGACATTAATACGATTGGATGCCAGCCGGCTTAGTGATCTAGAGGTTAAGCGTTTGTGTGCGATACTGATATGTGCTGGGTTGGAATCGCGCGACGCAGGATCGTGGATGCGCATTGCTGAGGTGTCCCACAATAAGACGAAACGGCCATTCAGTGCTTACAAGTTTTCCATGGTGGTCTGGCTTCTATTGACTCATGATCTCAACTACTGAAATAAAGAGTAATGTTTTTTTAAAAAAAAGAGGTCAGTAAAAATAAATTTTAAAAAAGTCATATATCTATATGGTGATAATCATAAATGTATTTCCATATACATTTTAGCTTAGTAACAATAATCTCTCATTTATAATCCTATAACTTGTATGTTCGATTTCTTTTCAGACAATAAATTGAACTTTTAAACTTAAACAGTCTATAAATCATGAGTCAATAGGAATCTAGACAATTCAGTTCATTTTAGTCATCTGATTCAAAAGGATTTAAATTAAACTATTTAGTTAATGAAATCCAAATCACGAACGCATATATATATATATATATATATATATATATATATATATATATATATATATATATATATATATATATAATAGTTGAATTCATGAGTCAATTAAAGCTAGACCACCTTGGAAAACTTGGGAGCATTGGACGGCCGTTTCGTTCTAGGATGGGACTCCTCAGCAGTGAGCAACCACGATTCCACCCGTGGGACCCGAACTCAAAATCTATCGGTCTCGCGCGCCAACGCTTAACTTCTAGATCATTGATCCGGCATCCAGTGATGTTAATGTATAACTTCGACCAAATACATATGATTTGAAATGTTATTAAACACAACTCGAATAATCATTTCAATTACGATAGATCTCTAGTGATTTATTTCAAACTTAATATATTTTCTTCAATTTACTTAATTGCATAGTAAATAGTGTGGATGTGTTATCAAATGAATAATTTCTAGATTAATATATCTTAAATTCCGAATTACTTAAAAGACTTTCATTCAAGACCAAAATCAGAATAATCAATCCTGACTTGAAAATAATTCTGTTATGAAGGTTAGAACTACCATTACTATGATTAAAAAAAGTACACGTACTTGTAAACAGCTGCTATGCAAGATATTTCATATCTGCTTTACAGAGCCAATCATCAATAACTTACTTTGGCAGAGAACAAATCAGCTGGTAGCTGAATAGTAGATCAGGAAAAGGTGTTAGAGGTGGATAGGAAATAATTCGCGTGAATCAGCAAACTACATCTCAAGCAGGCCGTAACTTGGAATGTTCAAGGCCAAAGAAAAAAAGTAGACCGAACAATACATTTTGCTGAGAATTGATGATAGACGACAAGATGATGAAAATTACTTCATAACATCTGGGAAGAAGAGCTCAAGACAGGGTTGGTTCATTATTGCTGGTGTTTGGCTTATGCACCATATGGAGTACTAAACACGTTTCCAATTGTATAGTATGGATTACAGAACTAATCATGTTGAGAAATTAACACAAATAACATGATCATCTTAACGCATCATAAATTGATTAGGGTCGGTTCTTACCAGGTGTTTTAAAGTTGTGCTCTCTATTAGAAGTGTATGGAATTGTGAATACTTACTGCTGATGATTTCTAAATTATAACGAAGCAGTTGTCCATTCCATCTTCAATTTCACTGATTCTTACATTTACGAATATTTGTGATAAAGATACATTGAGTTTTAAGATGTTTAGTTGACGAATGTGTTATTCATTTGCAATCAATGTTATACTTATCTTGATAAATCCTATACTCAACAACAAATGTTTATTCCAATGCTACATAAATCATATCACATTATTCCTATCTAGTTGTATATCCAAAGAGTACAATATTTAAGGGTACACTTACGCTTTGATCGTGTATGTTACAAAGAGTTAGAACTATACAATCGAATCAAACTAAGTGGTCAGTAGCAATGTGTCTAAATCCAGTCGGAAAACTTAAGCTTTACATTAATCATTAGAAGTCCTGATTAGTTTTAATCATCTATCTTTGTTTTAGACAACAGATACTAGGTTAATATAAAAACATGAAGGGGACAAAGTTGATGAGGCCCGATCAGGAAGAAACACAAAACCGTGATTTAACTACTATCTGTTATCTACAATATGATTTGATATTAAATAGTTTAAAATAAATGAAGATAGAAAATCACCTTTTAACCTAAACAGTATCCTATAAATAAAACATTACGCTACTCATTCTACTCACCTTTTATAGTTTGTAAACAAATTCTCAAACACAGCGAAATTAAATCTGTCAACATACAATCTCTGATATAAGCTTTACTCACGCTTTATATGCTAACTGTGCAGCAGACTTTTTTATAAACACTATGAAAGTCAATCTAACTATTGTTCACTCAGGTACTATTGTAGTGAGCAGAACACGGTTGGGGACAATCGAATGTATTAGACACAGCATCACAGAGCGTCTCAATAAAATCTGAGAACTATATATTAAATCGTTAATTTGTAAAATGTCCACCACTTGTTTCAAAATGCCTCAGACTTTATTGTTCTTACATTTTCATACAAATTGCATTCTATTCCCACTCTTGCTTTCTTGATCTTCCCCCATCTTCTGCTGCCAGCCATTACATTCCTGACTTGCATAATATACTACTTATATCAATATAAGTAGCACACACCACACTATTACTGAATATGTATATTTCGTACCTTTAATATATAACTAACGACAGATAATGAGATAATACTTTATGAAACTGAACATACTGTTTGTTATGTAGATGGTATTCGTCATGGGTCGATTTTATGTAAGTTATCATTGGAAACTGAAGAGCAATGCTTAACTGTTTCGTCATACCACTCTTTAGAAGTGCTAACTCCCAATCCTCCCAAGATCAGATTTCATTACATTCAGGTCTCGTGAAAGACATTTAATCATCAGACCTCGAACAACGTTGTAAGTTAACAGTATTGTGGAATCCTGCACATTCTAAGATGAAATACGCGTACACTTCACCTTTGGTTTTCATTAATATTTGTAAGAAATACTATTTACAAATTAAACAAACTTACACAGAATCCCTTTCATAAAAATACTGTTTGACCTAAGTACTTACACATAATCATAAAGTTCATATCTATACCATGACAACAACGATAAAAGACTACATGAAAATCACCTTTTATCGTATCAGATATGATATGATAAACGATAATACAATCGTATGGTAACGGTTACTGAATAAAATGTTAATGTCAAAATTAGCGTGGAAATTTCAGACATCGTAGAAGTATTATCAATCATATTAAACAATATCTAACAACAAAAGGTGAATAGGTCACTCAGACAAGGATTAAAGTAAGTTCACCAGACATTAGTTAGTTATTTGTATGAAAAAACTCAACTTTTTGAAACTTATCATGGTATCGATGCTTGAAAAAGAACATTGTTACGAAGAGAAATCTAACTTTAATACACTAATAACGATAGGATAAGTATCCATGACTTTATAGCTTATCGTTCTTCCATAAATAATATGTGTGGTATTAGGCATCTTTGAACACTTTTTTGTTCATTCATTAGATGATTACTGTATGTAAGAACATCATTTTTTCCAACTGAAGACTTCATTTCAAGCACTGAATTTTACGTTATTCGTTTCTTTCATCCAGTAAGTTAGGGTATATTATGATAGCTGTTCATAGACGGTATACGCGGAGAGATTCAGATGACTGAAATAAAAACCTCAATAAAATATGTGTTATTGGATGTAATGCTCATCTACTAAATAAACTGGGAAAACTTCAGACATGATAGATTTTGCACATTTTTAAACATTCTAAAATGATGCACAATCCCACACAACAATGTAAATATGAATATAAAAAAAAATATTGATAAGTGAAGAAAACAATTTCGTTTAACAATTTAAAAATTCCACACTTCACATCATTGGACGGCCGTTTCGTCCTAGTATGAGACTCCTCAGCAGTGCGCATCCATGATACGGCATTCGAATCCAGGGTCATCGGTCTTGCACGTGAACGCTTAACCTCTAGACCACTGAGCCGTCATCCAATAAAGTTAATGTCTAACTTCAACCGATCCATGATCTTGTGAAACTTTTCAATGGTGCTCGATTACATCTCAGTCCTACAAGAGGTCGGTCGCGGCTCGAACAGCTCAGTGGTAACGTCTCAGACTGTGAAGCTGGGTGACACGAGATTGAATCCGCCACGGAGCACCAGCTTCTTCAAGATTACAGGTACACCTTGCTGACGAGTGCCAAGTAGCACGAAACCCGGGTCCAGGGTTTCCTGTCGACTACCTCCAACCACCATCTAATCTCACAATAGTGAACGCAGTGTCGAGTCACCTAGGCTGGTGGTCACATTGCAACATGGTTGATAGCATTCGATCTGCACTAATAAGGACCAGACACGCATGACATTGATCGCCACTCAGTGATCAATCAATTGTGACTAATTTACATTCATTAAATCATAAAACATTAAACAATTCTATCAATAATCAATTATAGATATGAATTTCTTTCCTAGTTTTCTCAAAATATAGTTCTATCTTTTAATAATCTGAAATATTTTGATTGGGCTTCTGATGTGTAAATATGTATTATTCAATTTATTATTATTTTAAACTATCCATATTGATTGTTTGGAGAACTTTTATCTTTCGTCATTTGTATGACAACTAACATTCAATATTCATTACTTATGATCATTTAAATCACAACTTCATGAATAAACTTCAATGATGAAATCATTGAACAAATTGAGTTCATAATACTAATATTTAGTTGTTTCTTTTTCATTACATTCTAAAACGTTATGTTACATGTTGTTCATTTAAATGGATATATTTATAGATGATACTTTATGGAGTAGATGAAATGCTTAGAGCCTATTATGTCATAATTACATGATAATCATCTACATATGCTCACTAGTAACTGGCTTTAAGAGGTATTTTCTAGAGTTCTAGTGAGAAACAATGACTAGTGGATTTCAACCCGTTATGTTGTGAGATAGTAACTCACTAATGACAATGGTGGATGTGTCGCTCAATTTCGTGGATTAGTTAAAGTTATACTCACTGACCTAAATGTTAAAACAACATGCCGTATCTAGTTTTTTTCTCAAGATTTATCAGCCATTGTGTTCAGAGATGTATGTAGTTTAGAGGTTGCTCTGGCGTTAGGCAGTTGAAGTCAGTCAGCAGGAAACTCCAAAGTCACACTTCTTCCCACTAGGCAATCATCTGTTAAGTGTACCTGAAGTCCTTATAGAACTGGTATTTGCTGTGTTATTCAAACTGGTGTTATCCACTTTCACAGTTTGAGATGTTAGAAGTGAGTGTTTTAAGTAGTGATTGATCTCCGTATGCTTATTTATTGGTATTACTCTATCGCTGAGTAGCAGCAACTAATGTCGTGTTTGTACAGTCTATAGTGCTGATCGAATTCGATAGATCAAGTTTTAATTAAGGCAATATTTAAGCATGATCTTAGTCATTACTTAGTCATCCTAGTTCAACTCGGGGCTATTCGTGGTTCAAATAACTCAAAGATAGCGTCCCGGACTGTAGAAATAGACAACACTTATAAAGGCGGGATCATTTGTGAAAGGATATTAGAGACTCCTTACTGATGATTGAGTAATAATAAGAAATGTAGCTCCAGAATTTCCTGCTGACAAACTCTAATTCTGCTGATTGATAGAATACGATCAGCACTAAGGGCCAAACAAACAAGACAATGGTTCCTACTCAGCGACCAGTAAATTTATAGATAACATTACTGACGATTCATTCCTAAACACAAAATTAAGCAGTTACCATGTTCTTTATGTCTATTAACTCTATGAGCGTACACTTTAAAACATGTATTCATTAACATTCTATCATTCTGCCCCACGAAAATTTCTATTACAGGTTAATTTTAGTAAAAATCGACTAGTCAGTATAGTACCATTTGATTGGAATCGTGTTACTCTATGTTCAATACGTGGTGTTGATGGATCAGATTATATCAATGCCAGTTTTATTGATGGTTATTTAAAGAAAAATGCATATATTGCTTGTCAAGGTCCAATGATCTCAACTGTTGAAGATTTTTGGCGTATGGTTTGGGAGAAACACAGCTGTCTCATAGTTATGTTGTGTTCAGTGAAGGAAAGTGGAAAAGTAAGAAAAAATATATATAATATGCATGTTTACAAACTGATACAAGTCAATTTAAATTATCACATGTATCATGGATATGTACTAAGATTTGAATTCTGGGATACTTTGACAAAAATAAAAGATTTTTACAACTTACTTTACAAACTGACCTTAACTAAATAACCGCTGAATACCAGGAAGCACTGGACAGTTATTACATGCTAGTATGAGACACTTTAACTCCACTTGTAGCCCTTCTAGGGCTACTGCCGGTCCCAAGCCCACGCAAGGGGGAAAAGTTGGGTATGGGTCGGCAACCACATCTCGTAGAAAACAACCTTGCTAAAAAATACTAACCAGAATAAACAAATTAAACAATTTAAACTCTGCCCTGGGAGTCGAAGGAAGAATCATGACGTCCCATAATAAAAGCCGAGATTCTTCGGAAGCTGCGAGGCCCATACCCCTTCTAACAACCAGAGCAACAATTTTTGTAAGTACGCGAAAGACCGGAAGGACAGGTCAAATAGCTGAGGACATGAGGAGATACAACTTGACGGTTCTCAGAATCCGCGAAGCCCATTGAACTCTAGCTGGACAGCAAAGGTTATGTAAGGAAGAGATGCTGCTGTACTCCGTTCATGAAGAGGAAAATGCTCCACACACTCAGGGAGTTGCTCTGATGCTGATCAAAGAAGCTCGAAATGCACTTTTAGGATGGGAATCTCATTGACCCATAATCATCAAAACATCCTTCCAAACAGAGAAGTAGGAATTGCAGGTAGTATTATCCAATGTTATTCACCTACCAATGACAGCAACGACGACAATAAGGATCAGTTCTATGAGAGGCTGCAATCGATCATAACGAAGTGCTCAGGAAAGAACTTGACAATACTGACGTGAGATCTAAACTCCAAAGTCGGAATGGACAACACCGGATATGAGGATATCATGGGACGACATGGACTAGGAGAGAGAAACTAGAATGAGTTGAGATTTGCATTCAACAAGTTGGTTATAGGCGGCACAATATTCTCACACAAACACATACACAAAGCTACACGGGTATCACTGGACCAGACTGATCATATTTGCATAGGTAAACAATTCACAAGGTCAATGATAGACGTGAGAACCAGGAGAGGTGCTGACATAGTTTCTGATCACCAACAACTGGTTGTGGCCAAGATGAAACTGAAACTAAAGAAGCGTTGGATAACTGGACAAACAGGATTACAAGGGTTCAATACAGCCTTCATTCGTCATACTAACAAACTCAACGAATTCAAGATAGCTCTGAGCAACGGGTTCCAAGCCTTACAGGATCTACTCAGTAAGGGGAAACTACTATGGAGGACAACTGGACAGGTATGAAAGAAGCACTAACTTCAATATGTCAGGAGGTTCTGGGCTGCAAGAAGCATCATCATAAGAAAGGATCTCTATCTAAGCCCTGGACGAGATTCGAGAAAAGGAGAACAAGAAGACAGCAATTAACAACAGCCGAACAAGAGCAGAGGAAGTCGAGGCACAAGCTGAATTGACAGGAAAATACAGTAAACCAGAGAGACCGGTCAAGGAGAAAGAAGACAAGCTAATCAATGAAATTCAGTGACAGAAAAACACATAAGTGGAACAATTTGAGAAACTCTTGAATAGACCAGCTCCATTGAATCCACCGGTTATCGAAGCAGCACACATAGATTTCCCTATAGATGTCACTCCACTAATGATCGAAGTCAGGATGGTTATCAGACAAATCCAGTGTGAAAAAGCAGCAGGACCTGTCAATATACCAACCGAAGCTCTGAAGTCGTACACAAAAGTAACTGCAAAGATACTCAATGTCACTTTCAGGAAGATTTGAGAGGGAGAAAAATTGCCAACAGACTGGGTAGACGGGTACCGCACCAAGATACCAAAGAAAAGAGTAGTTTAACCCAATCACCCAAGCCAATGGCTATCAAGAATCAGTAGGTAAGTGGATAATGTGATAGATTTTGAAGCCAATAGTACTGAATTCGAGTCCCAGAATGAAAAATAACTCTGGTATGCACGTACATACATCTGAAGAATCACAAATAAAACAAAAAACGCACGTCCTGTATTTCACTGCTAGCCACTATCCATCTTTGCTTATAATGCTTGTGAATTAAGACAATATCGAGGCAGTTCTCACAGGATGCACATATGCCAATAAAAGACTGATCGATTGCAGTCCTAAATATCAATCGGAAGATACAAGAAAACAATACCAAGTGTATCATACCATAGGTAGTTTTTTTGATTTTATGATAATAAATCATTTCAACTTACTACAGAATAACATACTTGACTTTGTCATGTAAATTATGTGAGAAAACTGAAGTAAATGTAATAGGTTTCGAACCTTGAAATGAATTCTTTCTCGTAAATGAATACTTTTTGAGTGGTGAGTCAATCTTGTTAGTAAATGAGACAAACCAGTTTGAAGTTTAAATACGATTACACAATGGGAGTAATTTCATTAAAAAAAAGTCATCTTGATTTAATTCTATAAACTAGAATAAATCAGATTACAACAAAACACTATGATCATTAAACTCATTTGAATCCTTCTATCTAATTGTAATAAACTAGTATAATATCCAGATTATTCACTGAGGTAGGAAGAAATTAAACTCATCTGTCGGTCATTGAGTAGTCGAATATGTGAATTAGTAACTTTATAGTCTTTATTTTAAAATAATTTAGTGACTTATATAATTTCTATACAAAACATTCTATCCTCATTATAAATGTTGGAAACGTTACGATTAGAAACAAATCTAATACTAATGGCGACAATTTTAACTTATCGACTTGATAGATAACTATTTGGTATTTAACATTATGAATACTAAATTCAAATCCTGATGAAAGCAACAATCCTGACTGAGATAAAATTACTTCAAACTGACAAGTTTCATATATGATAGTTCAACTTTCAGTCACGTTCATAAAGATAACATGAAAATTACAGAAAATAATCATCCAGATAGAAACAGACATAGTGGTTTAAAATTAAGTTAATTCTTTGCTAAAATGAAAGAAATCTAATCGAAGCTCAGATCAAACCATGAAGTCACCCAATATTGTATTATTTTATGTTGGTAGGTATGTAATAGACGATAACACAAGTAGAGACAACAGATTTATTGTTTAATACGAAATTACAGAATCTCTTGATGAAATATGAGAACCATACACTGAATAATTCATTTGTAAATTTTCATCATTTATCTTTCACATTCTCTATGATTCTTTCAGTTCACAATTTCTTTCTATTCGTATTTCTAATCTCTTTAATTCGATCTTCTTAGCTTTCTGCCGCCACATTTTTTACTTCCTATTAAGGTTATATACTACTTATGTTGAAAGATATAAGTAGGGATTATTGTATTTAAACGTTGGAAATAATAAATAACATAGATCGAAATTGTCACAGATTCATTCACTCATTGTTTTCACTTACATATTCAGCTTTAACATCATTTGGTACTCCACTCTATAAATTTATTCTTTGTTCTCAATTTATATTGTTTATGTCTACAATGGCCCTCCTATTGCATACACACGAACAAATGCAGATAAAGACAGCCAGTGTAGCCGCAGTCTCTGAATCAGTAGGCCTCAGCATACACAAGGGGAAAACCAAGGTCCTCAAATTCAAAACGAAGAACAGCAATCCAATCACTCTTGATGGCGAAACTCTAGAAGATGTAGAATCCTTCACACACCTGGAAAGCATCATCGATGAACGAGATGGATCAGATACAGACGTAAAGGCGAGGATTGGAAAAGCAAGGGTCGCATTCCTGCTATTGAAGAACATATGGAACTGAAAACAACTGTCAACCAATATCAAAGTGAGAATCTTCAATACGAACGTCAAGGCAGTTCTACTGTATGAAGCTGAAACTTGGAGAACTACTACAACCATCATCAAACATGTGCAAGTATTTATTAATAGTTGTCTAAGCAGGATAATCAACATCCATTGGCCGGATACCATCAGCAACGGCCTTCTATGGGAGAGAACAAACCAGCTTCCAGCTGAAGAAGAAATTAGGAAAAGATGATGGAAATGGATAGGACATACATTACGCAAATCGTCAAACTATATCACGAGACAAGCCCTGACTTGGAATCCTGAAGGGAAGCGGAAAAGAGGAAGGTCAAAGAACACATTACGTCGGGAAATAGAAGCAGATATGAAAAGGATCAATAGGAACTGGAAAAAGCTGGTAAGGATTGCTTCGGACAGGTTTGGATGGAGAATGCTGGTGAGCGGCCTATGCTCCTTCACAAGGAGTAAAAGGCGTAAGTAAAGTAAAAAAGTAATGTCTACAATGGATACTGTTAACACTATTACTAATCTATGATTTATTTTAATAATTTCATCTCACTGTAAGGATCTGTTATGGTAAATTGAATTGACATATATTATATGTGTATGTACCAGGTTTAACATTGTTTATTTCTGATTGATTAACCAAAATCTATTATACTAGCAACTAATGTTCTTCAGTATATTTTAATGATAGATTATGTGCCATGAGAAAACAAAACACACACACACACATCAAATCATAATAGAAAAATAAACATATTTTATAGTATTCAATTAGTTTATATTGTTTTAATATATTTATACAGGAGAAATGTTTTACATATTGGCCAGAAGACAAACCATCACGTTATCAATTTTTTGTAGTTGATTTAACAGTTCAATATACAATGTCTAGTCATATATTACGTGAATTCAAATTGACTGATGCACGTGATGGTGAATCACGTACAATAAGACAATTACAATATATACGTTGGAATGAGCAAGGATTACCACAAACTGGTGAAAGTCTAATTGATTTAATTGGGCATGTGCATAAAATTAAAGAACAATATCATTATGATGGACCAATTACTGTTCATTGCAGGTAAATAAAATAATTATTAGTATAGGGTTATGAAGATTGTTGGGTTTAGATTGATATTATGAATGAATCAATATTGAATCACCATTGAAAACTTGGAAGTACTGGATAGCCGTTTTGTTCTAGTATGCGCAGCGTAATATCATGGATTGGTTGAAGTTAAACGTTAACACCAGTGGATGCCGGCTCAGTAGTCTAAAGGTTAAGCGTTCGTTCGCACGCCGTGCAATGCGTCCAGGTACTCATTGGTGGTTCCACATTGATCCACACATGATATCATTCCAAAATAGCTATTATTATTATTCATAGTTTACATCAGTTCATTCAATGAATTATTCTCAGGATTTTGTCTAGCCTTCTGCATTGATCAGTAATCTACTGTTCAGTAAACTTTCAGAAAAACATCTGTCTCACACTCTTCTCATTTACATCATTTAATATAAAAGTTCCAATTATTTTTGGTTTTTCTTATCAGTAACAGTTGTAATCCAGTCATTTACTTAACATATTATGTTATGAATTAATTAGCTGTATATCAATAATTTGGATCTATAGACTGTGTGTTCTACCATTTTAAACTCATATTGAGCTTAGCGCTGTCGAATAAACAGTTCTGCAAACGTTGACCATTCACCACTTAGTACCAGATTAAATTTTGTCTGCTCCGTATTGACAACCGAATATCTAATGTGGACATTCATGTTAGGAATTCAGAAATAAATATTCCACATCGCGGGATACTTTGTACATTTATGGTAATTTGAATCCACTTTACTCATCACCCTGACTAGAGGTATTACAAATAAGCTATTCAAACCCAATTCATAGGTACCACTCTCAGTAATGACGCCCCGGTGAGTACAGATTCGTATTTTTGAGATAGTGTTTGTATCCTTGAGAATGTATAAATACCTTGATGATTAAGAAATTTCGATTTAAGTTTCACTCCAAATTTCCCTTATTGATACAGCACGAAACACTTAACATTCAAATTTCGAAAGAATTTCATCGACTTAGGAGATAAAAAGTTATGATACTAACTGACAGATAATAACTATTCAGTTGGTCAATTCGTCGAACGCTTCACTTCCATCTGAAGTTTGTGCTGATGATGTCGTTCAGAAGAATGATGAAAGCTCCACGACTAATTCATCCAGCTCAGAGAACAAAACCCCATCAAAAAGTTAATCAGTTATTATCAATACAGAGACTCAACTCCCAAACCATATTCGTATGGTTAGATTCAATTTATATGAATATCAAAGGGAGTCAAAATAAGCAGTAGAAATGATGTTGATGAGAAAGGCTAAGCATTGAGAATATGGCTAGAAAAGACAGAACAAGAAGGTATGTATATAGGAATACTGATTTCAAGATCTAGATGAAGGTAAGGAGAGAACAATTCTACACCATATTAATTAATGTCTTTGAGCAAAGATCACGGTTATCTAGCGGACCACAGACATGACAGATCTATAAAATCATTTCTATTTCACTTTTTTTTGTTTTGTTTTTACAGTTCTGGAGCTGGTCGAACAGGTTTATTTATCACAATGTGTAATGTATTAGAAAGATTACGTCAAGAATCAGTTGTTGATATGTATCAAACAGTAAAATTATTAAGACAACAACGTGTTTGGATGGTTCAAACTGAAGAACAATATCGTTTTTGTTATATAACAACATTAGATTATTTAAATTCATTTGATTTATGCACACAACCACAATTATTAATTCAAACAACAACAAATAATTCACAACTGAATAATTCACCAAATCTTAAATTAAAACTGAAATCTTCACAATTCAATGATAAAACTGTTGTATTTGAATTAGATAAAAATTATGAATTGAATGATAATAATTTAGTTAAATAAAACAAGAAACGAATACTACAAAACGTTTAATGTTCAATGGACCCATTTTTCTTGAATATAAGTGTTACATCTCTATACATGTACATTTACAGTTTATAAGTATCATTCATATTTTATCACTAGTAGGCAACTTGTTTGAATATCTGAGTTATATGTTCCTACCATTTGAATATTTCAACAAATTATCTGTCTTTTGTTTGTTTCATTATGTCAATCAATTGAATAACCTATTTATGTGCATTTGGTGAAAAGGAAAGAGCACAATCAGAGACATTATTCAGATGTCAATTCCTCAATTGATAACATCTAATTAGTGATCAATCAATATACATCGTCGGGATCGATCACGAATTAAGAAAAGGAAACTTATTGAAATAGTTTGTGTTGAGAACTCGTTATTGTACCAAAAAAATGTAATACTGAATAAGGCCATTAATAATCATAATACCATTGTGTTACAATTATGTAATGACAACAAAATATTGTAAAAATTTGTTCATATCGATCAATTTGAAGAAGAAACAAACTTCTAATGATCAGCGATTGATAAATCATTGATTAAGTCATCAATATTTTCCAGTTTTCTATATGTTTCATTGGATTTTTATTACTAACTAAGTATACTAATATAAACACAGTTCCAAAAACAAAAATTGAGTTCATTTATTTTGTTCAATTGAATACAATCATTAATGGGTTTTTAGAGATTGACTAGTATTACATACTATTGAAATTTGATTGCCAAAGGAATTCTTATTGAAAATTAGTAAATATTTAAGTGAACTTGATACCTTGTAATGACATAATATTCATTGTGTTCTTGTGTATATATATTTATATGCATTCATTAGTAAGTTGGTTGAAACTAAGCTGATGTGATGGATTGATCTTCTTCGAGTTTAATCTAATTCAATTGTTCTGATTACATAAACTTTTTAGAATGTTAAAATTAGTACAAGTGATATTATGATAACTAACACTAGAGGAGGCTTTTGAAGATCATTGAGTGAAAACGAAATCATAAAATGACTAAACTAAGAAATCTCTTGAAAATTATGCATGAACATCTTCAAGACTGCGCATCTATTACTGTATCACGTAATGAATCCAATATCCTCGGTCCCTCGACGAGCGCTTAATCTCTAGACAACCTAACCTGCGTCCGATGGTTTTCATGTTTAACTTTAGTCAATACACAAAAGTACACAACCAATCCTCATTGACTTCTATGAATAGCTGACTAGAATCCGATATGGTTGAACTTCACTATCCATAAACTCTAAGTAGAACTTCTGTAATTACCTCTGAAAATCAGTGAGTAAGGAATAATTATCAGAATGGAGAGTTTAGGGTGATGGGTAAAAATTATTGAAGGCAATCGAAGATTGGTGTGTGATATTGCAGGCTGATTCCAGTTAACATGATCCTGGCTTAGTAATCTAGAGCTCGAGCGTTCTCAGGAGAACCAGGGGTACTGGGTTCGATAGTCATTGGAGTAATGGATGCTCTTTGTTATGTCGTCATGAACAGCGCAGAACCAGGAACATGTACGTACCAGCAAAGTAAGATGAAATTATCTGGATAAATGCTAGAGTAGTGGGTGTAGTACCAGTAGTAACTGAATAACATTAGGTAAAGAAAATATGATTCGACAAAAGAATGAATTCGCGAGATAAAATTATCAAAGAATGTTATGACTGAAGACTAAATGCATCTTCATCATGACTGTTTCTTTACAATGTCATTCAACATCTACAACTATTGATCACGGCAATCACTCTGATTAAATGAGATAGTCTACACATACACCGACGTGGCTCAATCCAACGATCATCAATTTCACAAAATGATGCCACGTTTTTGTTTGCTAACCCACAATTCGCTTTTAAATTTCGTAACAGAGTGTCAAATTAGGCGGTGGTTGAGCACCTGTGATACATGTTTTAACCACTTCAGTCAATCAAGAATCAATACCTTATCAGCTGATTAGTATTGTATACCTGCTATGCTTAGTCTAACTTCAGCTTTGATCAATCAGTACTTCAAACATACTCGGATAATGCTTTGAAAACTTCTATGATCGGATTCTTTTACAACCACCAAATTTCCTCTGTTTACCTGGTAACGTATTAAAAATAAGAAAGGATTGTGCAGGACAGAGTTGGATGGAGAATGTTGGTGGACTGCCTATGCTCCTCCGTGAGGGGTAACAGGCGTAATTTAGTAAATAAGTACTTGGAAGATCTTATACAAAGTATTTAAAATAAGAGGATCTTATGTGGATTTTTTTGAAATAACTTCAGTGATATGAAAACATTAATTGTACGATATCCTTTTGTAGTTCAAGACAAACCTTATCATGAGTTAACACTAACTGGATAAAAATAGAAAGCTACGTAGATTTAAAAACTGTTTCCTCCCTGTCACTTTTATAGTTATACTTTACACTGCTTAGCAATTAAAAGCCACATATCCTAATCTTTGTTTATTATCCTTTATAAAACCTTTAATATTCATTATTGTATTTCGCCTCTGACAGAAAATTACAGATATTAACAAGGCTGGAGACAAATGGTAAGACTCACTGGAACTAAGTTTCGTGTTTAGTTGGCACTTAATAGCAAGTTAAACCTAAATGAACTGATGCTCCCAGAATTATTTGGAAAAAAAATTAGCAAATCGCTAACTGATCCATGGCCCTCGAACAAAGCTACATGTTGGACAAAAATCGTACTATATAATCACTCAACAACTAATTATTGTAACTCACAGAAATTGTTTAAAAAACTATTCATTGAGATATATGTACATTCAGCTGATAAGTCTTAGGATGAAACGAGCGTCTTAGATTCCATTACTAATCACTCGTCAAATTTAATAAAAACTAGTAACTAAATTGTACTATGGAGAAAGTCCTCTCAGGATGCATATAAGTCAAACGAGACTGGTCGATCATAGTCCTCAATTATCAACAACAACAACAAAAAATAGAAACTCTTGAAAACAAAGTTTTTACATGATACACACGGTATTGACTATCTGATCTCAGGAACTTAATAGATAACGTATGTTAGCTTTTGAAAGGAAAGATACTGAGTTCTAACTTTGATATGAACATCAACCCACCGGAATACAGAGATATCAAGATGATGATTCATAAATACGATAAAGTGCTGACCTTGAATCCCACTATTTATTTATCGATCTACAGATAATATCTGTTTCATTTCAAATTAAAAGAATGTATAGTTCATCATTATATTCCACTCGACAAACAATGTTTTTTCTTGTTTTAATTAAATATAATAATTAATTACTTACGCCTGTTACTCTCAATGGGGCATAAGCCACCGACCAGCATTCTCCAACCCACTCTGTCCTGGGCCTTCCTTTCCAGTTCTATCTAATTTTTGTTCATTTTTCTCATTTCGATCTCCATTTCCTAGTGTAATATGTTCTTTGGTCTTCCTCTCCCCCTTTAACCTTGAGGATTCCATGTGAGGGCTTGACTTGTGACGTAGTTGGGTGCTTTCCTCAATGTGTGTCCTATCCACTTACAGCGCTTCTTCCTGATTTTTTTCTTCCGCTGAGATCTGGTTTGTTCTCTGACATAATAGATTGTTGCTAATAGTGTCTGGCCAACGGATCTGAAGTATTTTGCTTAGACAGCTATTAATAAACACTTGTATCTTCTGGTTGATGGCTTTCGTACTGCTCCAGGTTTCCACCCCATACAGTAGAACTGTCTTGACATTTGTATTGAAAATTCTGACCTTGGTGTTGGTTCACAGACAAATGTTTTGAGTTCCAGTTGTTCTTCAGTTGTAAATATGTTACTCTTGCTTTGCCAAATATAATACATTAATATAATAAATGAGATTTATTTGTTCATTCATTGTTTAACATTTAACACTTATTATTTATCAATAAACAATCAAAATAAATTCCCGAGGTCAATAATTGGAAATCATATGCTCATAGATACATAGATACATATTTATCAAATCATACCTACTGACAGTTTCAAGGGATACATATACTACTTTAGTAGTTAAAATGGAATATGAATCATTCTTACTTTGTTTTTTCTTTTTTTTTGAACTAAACATATTTACATATTATTAACATAGAATGAATTAATCAGAGTTCTAATTGACGTCACATTCAAAGGGATATATGATTAGTGATGATTTATATACATTAAAATAATATATTTATTTTATTAGTCTTTATCCCGGTTTTCTTTTCCTTTTCTTTTTTCTCTTTTTTTCTCTCTTTCACTCTATCAACCATGAAGAATACAAGAAAAAAACCACAAGAAGAATTCATCAAGTCAAAGAAGGATACAATAGTTTTTAAGAAGAAAAGAAAACGAGTAACGGAAAGCAAATTATTCATCGAATTCTAAATTTTATGATGATGATGATGATGATGATGATGATGATGATGATGATGATGATGATGATGATGATGATGATGATGATGATGATGATGATGATGATGATGATGATGATGATGATGATGATGATGATGATGATGATGATGATGATGATGATGATGATGATGATGATGATGATGATGATGATGATGATGATGATGATGATGATGATGATGATGATGATGATGATGATGATGATGATGATGATGATGATGATGATGATGATGATGATGATGATGATGATGATGATGATGATGATGATGATGATGATGATGATGATGATGATGATGATGATGATGATGATGATGATGATGATGATGATGATGATGATGATGATGATGATGATGATGATGATGATGATGATGATGATGATGATGATGATGATGATGATGATGATGATGATGATGATGATGATGATGATGATGATGATGATGATGATGATGATGATGATGATGATGATGATGATGATGATGATGATGATGATGATGATGATGATGATGATGATGATGATGATGATGATGATGATGATGATGATGATGATGATGATGATGATGATGATGATGATGATGATGATGATGATGATGATGATGATGATGATGATGATGATGATGATGATGATGATGATGATGATGATGATGATGATGATGATGATGATGATGATGATGATGATGATGATGATGATGATGATGATGATGATGATGATGATGATGATGATGATGATGATGATGATGATGATGATGATGATGATGATGATGATGATGATATGATGATGATGATGATGATGATGATGATGATGATGATGATGATGATGATGATGATGATGATGATGATGATGATGATGATGATGATGATGATGATGATGATGATGATGATGATGATGATGATGATGATGATGATGATGATGATGATGATGATGATGATGATGATGATGATGATGATGATGATGATGATGATGATGATGATGATGATGATGATGATGATGATGATGATGATGATGATGATGATGATGATGATGATGATGATGATGATGATGATGATGATGTGATGATGATGATGATGATGATGATGATGATGATGATGATGATGATGATGATGATGATGATGATGATGATGATGATGATGATGATGATGATGATGATGATGATGATGATATGATGATGATGATGATGATGATGATGATGATGATGATGATGATGATGATGATGATGATGATGATGATGATGATGATGATGATGATGATGATGATGATGATGATGATGATGATGATGATGATGATGATGATGATGATGATGATGATGATGATGATGATGATGATGATGATGATGATGATGATGATGATGATGATGATGATGATGATGATGATGATGATGATGATGATGATTGATGATGATGATGATGATGATGATGATGATGATGATGATGATGATGATGATGATGATGATGATGATGATGATGATGATGATGATGATGATGATGATGATGATGATGATGATGATGATGATGATGATGATGATGATGATGATGATGATGATGATGATGATGATGATGATGATGATGGATGATGATGATGATGATGATGATGATGATGATGATGATGATGATGATGATGATGATGATGATGATGATGATGATGATGATGATGATGATGATGATGATGATGATGATGATGATGATGATGATGATGAGATGATGATGATGATGATGATGATGATGATGATGATGATGATGATGATGATGATGATGATGATGATGATGATGATGATGATGATGATGATGATGATGATGATGATGATGATGATGATGATGATGATGATGATGATGATGATGATGATGATGTGATGATGATGATGATGATGATGATGATGATGATGATGATGATGATGATGATGATGATGATGATGATGATGATGATGATGATGATGATGATGATGATGATGATGATGATGATGATGATGATGATGATGATGATGATGATGATGATGATGATGATGATGATGATGATGATGATGATGATGATGATGATGATGATGATGATGATGATGATGATGATGATGATGATGATGATGATGATGATGATGATGATGATGATGATGATGATGATGATGATGATGATGATGATGATGATGATGATGATGATGATGATGATGATGATGATGATGATGATGATGATGATGATGATGATGATGATGATGATGATGATGATGATGATGATGATGATGATGATGATGATGATGATGATGATGATGATGATGATGATGATGATGATGATGATGATGATGATGATGATGATGATGATGATGATGATGATGATGATGATGATGATGATGATGATGATGATGATGATGATGATGATGATGATGATGATGATGATGATGATGATGATGATGATGATGATGATGATGATGATGATGATGATGATGATGATGATGATGATGATGATGATGATGATGATGATGATGATGATGATGATGATGATGATGATGATGATGATGATGATGATGATGATGATGATGATGATGATGATGATGATGATGATGATGATGATGATGATGATGATGATGATGGATGATGATGATGATGATGATGATGATGATGATGATGATGATGATGATGATGATGATGATGATGATGATGATGATGATGATGATGATGATGATGATGATGATGATGATGATGATGATGATGATGATGATGATGATGATGATGATGATGATGGATGATGATGATGATGATATGATGATGATGATGATGATGATGATGATGATGATGATGATGATGATGATGATGATGATGATGATGATGATGATGATGATGATGATGATGATGATGATGATGATGATGATGATGATGATGATGATGATGATGATGATGATGATGATGATGATGATGATGATGATGATGATGATGATGATGATGATGATGATGATGATGATGATGATGATGATGATGATGATGATGATGATGATGATGATGATGATGATGATGATGATGATGATGATGATGATGATGATGATGATGATGATGATGATGATGATGATGATGATGATGATGATGATGATGATGATGATGATGATGATGATGATGATGATGATGATGATGATGATGATGATGATGATGATGATGATGATGATGATGATGATGATGATGATGATGATGATGATGATGATGATGATGATGATGATGATGATGATGATGATGATGATGATGATGATGATGATGATGATGATGATGATGATGATGATGATGATGATGATGATTGATGATGATGATGATGATGATGATGATGATGATGATGATGATGATGATGATGATGATGATGATGATGATGATGATGATGATGATGATGATGATGATGATGATGATGATGATGATGATGATGATGATGATGATGATGATGATGATGATGATGATGATGATGATGATGATGATGATGATGATGATGATGATGATGATGATGATGATGATGATGATGATGATGATGATGATGATGATGATGATGATGATGATGATGATGATGATGATGATGATGATGATGATGATGATGATGATGATGATGATGATGATGATGATGATGATGATGATGATGATGATGATGATGATGATGATGATGATGATGATGATGATGATGATGATGATGATGATGATGATGATGATGATGATGATGATGATGATGATGATGATGATGATGATGATGATGATGATGATGATGATGATGATGATGATGATGATGATGATGATGATGATGATGATGATGATGATGATGATGATGATGATGATGATGATGATGATGATGATGATGATGATGATGATGATGATGATGATGATGATGATGATGATGATGATGATGATGATGATGATGATGATGATGATGATGATGATGATGATGATGATGATGATGATGATGATGATGATGATGATGATGATGATGATGATGATGATGATGATGTGATGATGATGATGATGATGATGATGATGATGATGATGATGATGATGATGATGATGATGATGATGATGATGATGATGATGATGATGATGATGATGATGATGATGATGATGATGATGATGATGATGATGATGATGATGATGATGATGATGATGATGATGATGATGATGATGATGATGATGATGATGATGATGATGATGATGATGATGATGATGATGATGATGATGATGATGATGATGATGATGATGATGATGATGATGTGATGATGATGATGATGATGATGATGATGATGATGATGATGATGATGATGATGATGATGATGATGATGATGATGATGATGATGATGATGATGATGATGATGATGATGATGATGATGATGATGATGATGATGATGATGATGATGATGATGATGATGATGATGATGATGATGATGATGATGATGATGATGATGATGATGATGATGATGATGATGATGATGATGATGATGATGATGATGATGATGATGATGATGATGATGATGATGATGATGATGATGATGATGATGATGATGATGATGATGATGATGATGATGATGATGATGATGATGATGATGATGATGATGATGATGATGATGATGATGATGATGATGATGATGATGATGATGATGATGATGATGATGATGATGATGATGATGATGATGATGATGATGATGATGATGATGATGATGATGATGATGATGATGATGATGATGATGATGATGATGATGATGATGATGATGATGATGATGATGATGATGATGATGATGATGATGATGATGATGATGATGATGATGATGATGATGATGATGGAGAAGCTGAGTCACACAAAAATTTGATTGGATATGAATGAAGTAACTTTATTCACTTAGTTTTTGTACATGTTCAAATAGTATTTAAGGTATTATTTAAAGTGTTTTAATTTATTGAAATAAAGTTAACAAATACACCATCAATTTCATGTAAGTATACATTACAATTTGAGTGTAACAGAATAAGTATTCGAAACTATGATAGCTTGTTTTATTCTTGTCTAGGAATTATAATCAATTCATAATGACTGATATATTATTAATATTATCAGAAGGGATTTTTGTAGATATTATGGTAATTTATAATAATTAAGATCATGAATTAATTGAAGCTAGACCACCATACAAAACTTGGAAGCATTGGACGGCCGTTTCGCTCTATTGTGGGACGCCACAGTAACGCGCACCTACGATCCCGCTTTATGAGACTCGAACCCAGGACCTATCGGTCTCGCGTGCGGACGCTTAACCTCTAGACCACTGAGCCGGCTTGCATCCAACGGTGTTAATGTCTAATCTCAACCAATCTACGAAATTGAGCGACACATCCACCATTGTCATCAGTGAGTTACTATCTCACAACATAACCGGTTGAACTCCACTGGTCACTGCTTCTGATTAGAACTCCGGGAAATACTTCTTGAAGCCGGTCACCAGTGAGCATATGTTGATTAATATCAGAAGGTCCTAGGTTCGAATCTCGCGATGCGGGATAGTGGATTCCCACTGCTGAGGAGTCCCATAATATTACGAAACGGCCGTCCAGTGCTTCCAGGTTTTCCATGGTGGTCTAGCTTCAATTGACTCATGATCTCAACTGTTAAAATTGATATTATCACGTTTAAATTGTATGTAAACTACAAAAGAAAATAAAATAGATTGAATTCATCTCGTTCTGATACGTTTGTTCTTCTTCTTGTTTTTTTTTTACCAAGGATCAAACTTACCATTTTTTTTAAGTAACGTCGTGCCACAGTGTAACTTTGTCAACTCTGCTCAATTATCGATCAGTCAAAACGGAAGTGATATGAATGGATAATTTAACACGGATAAGAAAAATCTTATTAGGATGTATACAAAATGTTTTATATGAATTATAAACTTATGATGGTTCGAAATAGGATTTGAGATCAAGGTCAAGTTTATAAATTACGATAAAGGAATACTTTATTACATACATTGGTATATATATATATATATATATACCATCAGGTCTTCATATCTTAAAACAAATTAAAATGACTATAAATACTTTGTAGATCATGTTAAATGGATATACATATTTCGATTATATGTTTTCTATTATTTATCCTAATAAAATACAAAATAACTTTCTAATTATCATTTGATATTACATAATTTTTGATCATGATCTTTAGTTACAACATATAGATCAACTTGATGTGTTTTCATAGATTTTACTTAACTCTTAACTCTCAGTACAAATTCATCGTTATTGATTACTGAATACCTTGGAAAAATTCAACACATAATAGCTTAAATCTGATTGAATCGTTGGTAACGTGTGAGTTCTATCGGGATAATTTGAGCTTTAAACTATTATAAGCAAAGATGGATAGTGGGTAACAGTGGAATCCAGGACTCATGTTTTGTTCTATTTGGGACTCCTCAGCTGAATTTCAACTTCACTCCATTGCACAAGCAAGTGGCTATTAGGACTCAGTAATAAGTAGATAATTGATGGAGTTTGAAGCGAACGGTACTGGGTTCGTGTCCCGGAGTGAACATTAACTCAGATGCTGGTACGTTCAGCTGACGAGTCCCAAATAAGACGAAACGCACATCCTAGATTCCATTGCTAATCATCATCCATCTTTGCTCATATTGCTTATGAATTAAGGCAATACACACAGTATGCACATATGCAAATAAAAAACTGATCAACTGCAATCCTAAATAACAATGGGAAGATACAAGTAAACAACACCAAATGAATTTCAAATTCACTCCATGGCACAAATAGGTGGCTATCAGGAGTTAATAGCTAAGTGGATTCAAGTATACAATACCAACTGAACTTAAACTATTGATTTGCCACTAAATTATTCACAGTTTAACTTTTTATTCAATCTACAATATTATTCTGACATAACCGATATCATTGAAAAGAATATCTGTTTTTATCAGGCACATTTGTTTAAAGTTGTCAACTTGTAAAATATTTTGATGTTTACAAAATTAAAATCTTTTCGGTTTTAAGACTGTCATCATGTTGCTCAAGTAACTCATGAAATGAGTAAAACACTCTACAGTAGTCTCAATTTAATAGAATATAAATTTTAATAGTAAACAAAAGCTTTTTTATCATATAGAATGTAGTCTCTTAATTTCTAAGTTGTTTTATTAGATAAACCTACGCTATTGTGATCGATTCTGAGCCATGTCACCCAGAGTCTCCAACCATTGATTACGATAGTCACACGGACCCATTAGGGCTGATCAGACTTCCAAGATAAGTGAAGTTGCCAAAGCGTTCAACTACTTCACTCCCTATCCTTAGTTCAGGTGTTGACGCAGACCAGTCCTAGAGTAACAACTTGCATTTAGAGGGAGAGAAGCGCATTTTATTCATAGTCCTGTTTGATGAAGACACTGATAAAATACAGAGTCCTTTGGTAGCACTGAGCAACAATGCCAGAATGTTTGGGATGCGTTTCTGTCTCTCTAAACGCAAGTTGTTGCCTCAGAGCTGGTCTGCGTCAACACCTGAACATAGAATAGGGAGTAAAGTAGTCGAACAGGACTGACAACTCCACTTATCTTGGAAGTCTGATCAATCAGTGAATCCTAAATTATTTTCGTCGGGATTTATTCATTCAGTTCCCTAAGCTACTGATAATAATTATGTATATATAATTAGTATCTAATAGACAGATATCTAATACATTTTTGAATGGAATTAAGTTTTAACTTTAAATTGGATAATTTTTCGACGTTTGTTTTGGTAGAACAGAGTTTTGAAAAAGTTGACATTATGAAAAGTAAAAATAAATTTGGAAAAATATCCTTTGTTAAATGTGAAAGGTTATTTGATATTAAGCATCTATAATTTAGATCTAGTTAGTGATTACTTCCCTTGATGAATTCTTGAAGTTCTATCAACCAATTTTAATCATAATTGTTTGACCATACAATAAGGATTCTTATATGATACAAATTGACGGAAATGTTAGAAATTCAATTATGTATAGATTGTATAAATGGTTTTATCGTTCGGATTCAGACATCTTCAAGTTATGAGTTCGCTCTTATGTAAGATCTTATGTAAGATTGTCTGTGTAAACTATTAAGTAGTAGTGAGTAAAAATGAAAAAGTGGCTTGGTGATATCAATTTTTTCAAACGTTCCACATTTGATATCAGTATATGATAAAGATATTATTAAAGTCAGTCACCAGTGGGCACATGATGATTATTATTAGAATGAAGGTTTGTAGAGATAGTAGCGATTTTAATAGTTGAATTCATGAATCGATAAAGGGTTGTGCAAGAAAATGGGTCAATTGAAGCCACATATCAATACCATTTGATGCTGGCTCAGTGGTCTAGTAATTAAACGTTTACGCACAAGACTGAAAGTCCTGGGCTCAGATTCTGTATGCGGGATCATGGATGTGCACTATAAATGAGTCACATACCATAACAAAACAGTTATCCAATGCTTCCAGGTTTTCAATGATAGTCTAACTTACATTGACTCATGAATTCAACTATTATAATTTAGAATTACACAGAAAAAAGTAGCAAACTTAAAGAAGGCTCTATTTCATTTCGATTTTATGAGAATATTTATTTATTCCTCCATTTCTGTTTGTTAACGTTACTATTACTTATAATGAACTATATTATTATTATTATTATTATTATTATTATTCATTATTAATACTACCGTTAGTATCATTCCATCTTGTTCAGTAATAATTGCGTAGTGTTAATTACCTTTTACATACATAAAATAGATGACTTTTATTCAGAATGAGTATCATGAAGTAGGTGTTTAGAATTATGTAATACATATGTATATGTATATACGTAGGACGATATAATTAATAACATTATTATTAGAGTATAATATTCATGTTATTCTTATAAAGACTAATGAAAACAACAATCAGAAATATGGAAAAATTCATAACAAAATCACAACCGAATACAAAACCGATGAGAACCGTTTATTTCTATACAAAAACAAACAAACAAACAACCAAAAAACAGAAATAAAATTATTCAATAATTCAATAAACTTGTTTTTGTTTGGTTGTATCCTCATTAAGAACTAAGAAGCTTAGAAGATCTGTTTTGTCCCAGTATAAAACTTTTCACTGGCACACATCAAGAAGCATTTCATAAAATCTTAAGGAGAAGTAATGTTCAGTCTAAGTCAGTTATTGAACTATTATTACAGAATTAATTAAAATTGGAATTATGAATCATTAAATATTGATTCAATGTTTTAAAGGTTCAACTCTCTTCATGAGATCTGAAGAAACGTGATTCAATCCTCAGCGAGGTTGAAGATGCATATTGCTAAATAATTTCATACTAGGGACAAATAACTGTTCAGTTCTTTGTAGTTTTCAATGATTGTTCAATGAAAGAAAATTACAACAGGACCACCACTGACTTTTATTATAATCCATGTCTGATTAAGTTTTACGCCACTGTGTTACTTTGTCTATAGGACTATAACCAGAGAGTTGTGAAGGATCGACAGATGTCAATCTTATATAGTTTTCTTTCATACCCGTCTACTATGACATCAATTTACGATATATTTTCACTTTCTCCAACCTGTCCCAGAGTTAGCAAATAATACACAATGTGGAATTCACTAGAATAACATACGTAATACATATCCAAGTCACTGAAGTTGGTCTTTAACGATGGTGAACCTTATTGATGATACTAGATAATATTGATAAAATAGCTTAGATTCTGTAGACGGAATATAACATTTACAAGTCATATCACGTTGAAGATTTTTTA